TTGACAATTGGTCAGTTCTGAGACTTTCTATTCACACAGGTATAGAAAATTTGACAGCTGAAATCCACAAAAACAGTAACTTCTTGTCCCCACTCTTCTGGAAGAATACAGGTTATATGACTTTATCTAGTGCACTTCTGCCAACTGTCTGTCTGCACATGGGTATATATTGTATTCTCTGGCTGAAAGAAAGTTTGATGATAATAGAAAACTTTTCGTAATGGGTTAGGCATGTGCTGAGAGCACATATCTGCACTTTCAGTCTATTTTAGCATGAGTTAGTCATGACATCAGTCAGCTTGATTGCTGGCTTAATCTCTGTCTGTATAACATGCTGTGTTATTTACCTATTGCAGAGTGAGAGAAGGGATAAGCACTGTTTTTTCCTGTTAGTAAAGAGTATTGCATGACGCAGACTGTAACTGTTAATAACACAACACCTAGGTGTCTAGGCATTCTGTGGGTTTTTGAAACTCCAGGTTTTTTGTTCTTTCACAAACCTCCTGAACTCTACCATCTGCTTATGCCTCTTTCTTAGTGTCTTACATGGCTGCTTTTGGTGATGTGAACCTGCCAGGTCGGAGCCAGCAGTATTTGAAGAGCCACAGGGAGCTTTGCTTGGCACAAGATAAAATTACAATATGATACAACACATACATACCTTACCATAGCAATTCTCCACTTTCTGTCATGTTACTTGTGTAGAGGGGTAGTTTTGGATTTTAATATCCTACACAGATTTTGCTTTTTGCTGATCTGTACTCTTTCTTTCTCTAGACAGTTAGTGTTAGCTTAGAAAATTCATGGCTTTAGTTTCCAGGTCCAGTTGATTTGAAATGGTACAAGCATGGAAGAGACTTCTACTTAGGGAAGTACCTCTTGATACTTAAAGATACTTGAAGTACCTCTCTTCCTTGAAGACAGAGGTACATCATAGGTCTTCATGATGTGATTTTTTAATGAAATACTCTGAAGTACCTCTTGATACTTAAAGATACTGGAAGTACCTCTCTTCGTTGAAGACAGAAGTACATCTTAGGTCTTCATGATGTGATTTTTAATGAAATACTCCTTTGAATAGATTGTGTCAACAGTATTTTTGTTTATTTTTGTTTTGTTGTGTTCTCTCACTACTATTTTGGTAGCAAAAAGATGTGTAGCCTGATGAAACTGCCATTTTAATCTAGTCACTCTTTTGGTGAAAATGAATGCATTTAATACTTGTAGTAGCTTGCAATTTACTGTGGATGCTGTTTGTTTTGGAGTTTCAGTGTTGGGATGCTTTCAGATAAGTTTTTTGAGGTAAAACTGCTGTTCTTTGAAGAGTAGGTGGGATGCAAAGGAAATAGAAATAGGAATTGGTTACTTTTTAAGCTTTTTAATGAACTGGACATTTTCAAACTTTTTTCTCTCTTTGTGCTTTTCTCTTTATTTCATAGGTGCACATATAATTCTCAGGCTGCAGTTAGTAAATTCCTGTCATATTAATTTTAATTTAGCATTTTGGTTTGTTGGCTCAAACTTGTGCTGACAGTGGCAACAAAACAGAAGGATCCCCAGGCTTAAGAGGTTTTTAAGCATTTTAAGCATTTATGTGGATATTTTCAGAATAGGAAGTAGTGCTTTGGCCATGCTGCATTTGCTCCAGTGTAAAGGAGAATGGTCCTTTACTATCTGTTTTATTAAAAGGTTCTTTCTAATCACAGAGCTGAACAATCATTGCTCAATAGCAGGTAGCTGTGCTTAGTTCTGTTGCAGAGTGCAGGGGTGTGCTGTAGTGGTTCAAGTGGCAAGAGGTTGTAGAATATTGGAAGAGGTAGAATTTTAGAACTGTTTCCGTTGCTGAGGTGTTTGTATTGATGTAGGGTATATAGGCCAAAAGGATGTTCTATCTGATGCAGAAATAAAACCTTGACTGGAAATACATACCAATCTCTCCATGTGTTAATCTCTGTGACTTTAGAAGAAAGGCTGAAGTAAGTATGGTGGACTTTCTAGCCCTTACCCAGTATTTGCTAACCTTCTGATACTTGAAGCACCTTTTATGGGTTAAAATTTATAACAGCACCAGAGAAATGGGTCTGGGCAACAGTCTGCATGCAGCTGTTGAGACAGGCAGACTGTGTGTTATACTCAACACCTATGACTGGGTGTTTTAGTGCTTCTTAATTCTGTGAAGACTGGATGGGCAGAAGGCAAAGGTTTCTGTGATGTGCTTCTGGCATGTTAGGATTTTTTTTGTTTATGAAGACACCTGAAAATAACTCCAGTGTTCTGTTGCTTAGTTTAAGGTTTTATTTAAAAGGCAAACCTACCCTATATGTACGTAGGGTAATCTGAAAGTTGTTTTCTGCAGTAGTGACATCCCATTTTAGTGCTTCTGCATTGTGGATGTGTTCATTCCAAATATATTCTACAGCTACAGTTCTTTGGGCATAAACTTGGGAAATGAATGGTATTGTTAGCAAGAGAGACTTGTCTACATGTTTCTGAGGCCTCCTCACTTGTTAGCCCTTACATGATATGACATAAGGGTTCTAACATTACTATTTTTGCTGCACTTGCAAAATATTTATATTTTGAATTAAAAAAATAATTAAAAAGCCACAGTCCAGAAAAGAAAAGAATGTTTATTTTTCCTTCAGAAATACAAGTAGGTAGTAATGCCTGCAGTTTCAAGAGCATACTTTTATTCAAGTCAGCAGAGTGTGGTGACTGTCATGTAAAAAAAAAAAAAAAAAAAGAAGCAAACATTAAACGCTGCATGTTCGCTGTTGGCTGGTGTAATGATGGTGAAACTAGGTTTGTGCCCCATTTTGGAATGTTCTTTCCCTGCCTTTTTTTTATTATTTTAAATACGCTAGAATTTTTTCTAAATGGGCAGTTACATAATTCTGTGTTTAGACTGATGTTTGATGGTGGAGGGCAGTGAGTTCATGGTAACTTTATAGGCCATTTATTCGTCATGTGTGGACTGTAGGATATAGATTGACAGAAAGTAAACTAGTGCAAATTTAATTTAATGAGTTTGTTCTTCTCTTCTTTGTAGCACAATGGCTGACAACAAAGTGAAATCGACCAAACCAGCGAATAAGACTCCTCCGAAGTCTCCTTCAGATCCAACAAAGGACCGAGCAGCAAAACGATTATCCTGTGATTCAAACAGCTCCCATGAAGGGGCTATGGCAGGAGAAATAAGTGCTCTGGAAGAGGCCTTTAGAAAATTTGCTGTCCATGGTGATACAAGAGCCACAGGAAAAGAAATGCATGGGAAGAACTGGTCAAAGCTATGTAAGGACTGCCATGTGATAGATGGGAAGAACGTGACAACCACAGATGTTGACATTGTTTTCAGTAAAATCAAGTAAGTTCTTTTCTGCCATGATTTCCTTGTCTCCCCAATGTGTTTTGTAGATATGTCGTCTAAATTTGCCTTCTATTGCTTACAGGTGTTGTGGAGCACTGCTAGCCTTTGTCAAAATTGATCTCTTTCCTGTTCCTTTATGAAATTTTGTTGCTTTGTCTGAAGCTACAGTTGTCAGCTTCTGTCTTCCTATCTTAAATTGACTTCAGTTTTGCAGGTGTTACACTGTACAAAGAAGTATGATGCTGTGTCGAGCACACCACCAACTCAAGTTTGATGTGTAGGGCCATGCCAAACTGATGGTGAATTTGTGGTGGAGAGCCATGGCTGAGATGAATTGATTAGGATTGTCTTGGTGGTCTGAGCTTACTCTTGTGACCAAACTGGAGCTTTAGTGAAACTTTCTCCTCAGGTTGAAAATCTAGGCAGACTTGGTCAGCACCTTGTCAATTCTAAGAGAAGATGTTAGTCTGTTCTGGCACATTCCCTATGAAGCCCAAAATAATATTTTTGTTTTGATTTATTTGTAGAATTGGATTATTTTTACCTTTCCCTGGGATCTGATCTGATAGTCTTGTCTTTTCTGCTTTTTATTACCAGAGTAACTGTTTAATTTGTTTCATATCTCATTGTGTTGAGGCACATGCTTTTAAAGGAGTCCCTTAACTGTGCTTGTAGCTTGTGGGAACATTTATTCAGCTTGTGCTCTCAACTGCTGTAGTGTAATTCTGGGGAGGACATGCAAACTGAGTTGCTTACAAGGGTGGTGGGGAAATCTTGCTACTGACCTTTTAGAGTGCATCGAAGCAGAGAAAGGCAGAGAAGAAGAGGCCTTTAATCTTGAAAGTTGTCTGGTGTAACAGTTAGAATGACTTACTTGATTGATTTCTTTGTTTTTATTCTCCTTGGGGATCTTATCTAGACAATTGAAAATACTGTATATGGACACTCCCACCCTCTTGTTCTTCTATCAGTTCACTTTCTCTTTGAGTCCTTACTTGTATTTTCTTGGAAATCATGTTGCTGGAGCTACACTATCAGTGACCTGGCTTACTTGAAATGGTTGTGTAGGCCATAGGGTTGTTTGTTTCTTTCTTGGTCTATGATAGACAATGCTGGCATTTATTTTCAAATTTTCTCTGGCTTTCATCAGCATAAAAACTCATCATTATTTCCTGTAATGATAGGTGCAATTTTAGTACTACCTTCTCTTATCAGTTTCTGGGCAAGTTAGTGATAGGACAACCCCATAATATGGTAAAGACATATGTATAGCATTTGGCAGGTATGAAGAAGTATCAGTTTTTGTGAGTGGTTGGGGTAGAAGGAATCCAGCCCACTTTTGCAGGATTGAATTTTGAGGTGGCAGGTACCTGAGGCTCCAGGAGAATGTTGGCATATCCTTTTTCTGTTGTTCAGCAGTTTCTCAGACCTTTCTCCTGTGGCCACTGTTAAGGGTTGTAATTTCTCTTGGAGGAAGCATGCCATCTTTTCCTCTCTCTCTAGTATTTAATAGTTTAGAAGGTAACTAGCAAATGTAAAAGTATTTTAGTCTTAATTGTTCATTAGTTATTTGGTAATTCCTCAACCTGTACATATGCATAGAACATATATCTTATATATTCTATTTTAACATTATTTTATTTTTTATTATATTGTTTTAGTACTGAATGGGGAAACTTACAATAGCTGAGATTTGCTATCTTTATTAGGAATGTCTGGTTTTCAAGTGTATGCTTTCAGTAGATATACTTCCACATTTTCTTAAATGTTGTGTTTTTGTGGTTTTTTTACATTTTTATTCTTGCATGCATGTGTCAGCAATTTTAATTTTCGGTTGTAACAAGGGAGGATTTAATGGCTGTAGTTACTCAAGTGTAAGTAATATGCTTTAGCTTACGAGGGTTAGGCATAGGCTTGATTATACAGGGTTCCTCGAGCATGTTCAGACAGCTGCTTTTCCTTGCTTTCTCTTCTGCTTCACATTTAACCCTAAACTCAAAAATAATGATAGATTTGCTAATGCATCAAAGCAGGCATGCTCACAAAATAAACTCATCCTCATTTCTATTTTACAAGCAGCTTTTTCCAAGCAGAGCACTAAGGTTCTTTGACAACCCAGATTTTTCCCTGTTTATGTTAAATGTAAAACCTTAAATGCTATGAAAGACTCTCCAATTCCTCAAAAAGTGCAGAGTGCTATTTCCATGGCTCAATAAGAATTATGCATATGAGAATCATACAGCTTTGTGCTTCACTGTTGGTTTTGGGTTCTCCAGCTAAACTGTATCTCACAAGATGGACTTCAGCCTGGGATTCTTATGGTCAGCCAAAGTGGTGGTTCAGCAAGATGGTGGATTTTGGCAGTTGTAGTCTAGCCAGGGAACACAGAAGTAGTAGAAGTAGATAAGTAGTGTTTGTCATACTCACCTACAGTCACCATCTAGCATGGAGTTAGAACTTCCAAACAGATTTTCTGTTGGTTCTATTACTGGGAAGCTACCATATTTATTTAGCAGTGTTTGTTTTCTAGCCAGCTATACTTAGAGTTTATGACAACAGCCCATGTTGTTCAGACACTAGAAAATAATTAATGTAGTAGAAATGTTCTTTGGATTTATCAGTTACTATGTATAAAGCCCGTGTTTGTCATCTTGCTAACTTTCCCAGGCTTCATTCATTGTTCTGCTACAGATACTGGCAAAATAGGTAGGAACTAAGCACTGCTGATAGTCGGGGTAAAGTAACAAGGAAAATAGTAAGAGATATGTTTACCTAAGAGCTACTGAAAGGTAGTGTTTTATTCTCTGATTGGTAACTTTCTCTGCTCTAGGAGAGATTTTATCAGTTCAATCCTGAGAAGTAATGAATGTTTTTGTAGACTCAACACCCCCTCTCCACCTCTGCCAAGCCAGGTGAACAGAACTTTGGAAAGCTTTGAATAGTCCATGATACTTCTTCAAAGCTGGGACTATGTGCCTGTCTTTCAGAGATTAGTTCATTTAAAATGAAGGAATGCCCTAATGCAAAGAATGCACAGTAGTAGACATGAAGGAGTTACTGCTAGAATTGCATTCTTTGGCAAGAAAATATATAAGTTGGGTGATCTTCCCCCCTGGTATTTTTTTTTAGGAGTAATTTGTAGCTTCTTAAGGGTCTCACAAATACTTCCAACTTGGTGGATTGTAATAAGTTGTTTGTTAAAAGTTGGTTTAATAGACTTTTTTTGTGGCCTCTTTTTTTTTTTCTTTTCTATTAAAAAATCTTTCTATTGTCAGCTCAGAATATACAAGAAGGAGCAATGAATTTTGCAATGGAGTTACTTGAAAGGAAAAGCTAAAGCCCAATTGTCAGAGTAGCCACATGTATGAATATTTATAATTTCCGTCCCTAGAGAAAAACCACCTACATTTATGCCAAATATTTGGATTGCATTAATACAATTGGGATAGACTGCAGTTTCTGTAATAAGTAGAAGAGTAAATAAATAGGGGTTTTTTAGATTATAAAAGTTACTATGAAGATCTCTTACAATATTGTTAACTTTCCATGCATGTTGCACCTATAAAAGCAAAATAAGTTGTGAAGAGTGAACTACAAAGTTTGACAGTATCCCATAGGATGAAATCTGTTAAAAAAAGCAGCAGAGACAAAGTGTATGTAACTGTAAATGTAATTATGTAGTAAGCTTTTATTTTTTATAGCTTCATTGTCAGCACTTGAGATGTTGTGCTCCTTCATATATTCATTGGACTGCATACAAAAGTAGCACTGGTTGTAGGGTAAATTTACCCTACAAAGTTAGCCACTTTCTTAAAGTTATGTAAAAATCTGTTTTCTAAAAATCTCATTCTAAGCATTCATTTTTTACATACTATCTGAACCTTACCTGGACATCTTTATATTTTGTAAATGAAGAATGATAATGTAATCTGGGCCTACTGAATATAGACATACATTTTGCAGACATACAATAGCATTTGAAGATAGATGGTTTTCTCGAGAGTGGGAATTCCGTGGGTTTCTTTTTAGTCGCTGAAACACTTGCCTGGCTTCTTGGAAAATTTCTTCATTAACTAGCTGTTTCTTTTCTGGTGCTCTTGCAGAGTTGCAGATGTTTGTAGGCTGTGTATCTTGTATTGTGCCTGCAGAGTGTAAATAGAGATTTAGTGAGTCTTGTTGCCTTGGAGAAAGCAGGTTCATTGGTGACAGAGGAGAAGGGCACTGAAGGGTTCTACATTTGGTTATGAAAAGCAACATGTGGCTGCATTCTTCTTATTCCAACAAGACAGTGAGACACAACAGTCTAAGAACTTCAGGATTTTTGTATTAAGGAAGGCAGAATACCCAAGAAGAATAGATGCTACTGATCTCTGACCTGCATTCCAGCATGTTGCCTTAGGAACTTAAATTTCTTTGTTTATTGGGGTCAACAACTGCTCTGGGATATTTGATATGTTAGCTATGCCATACACATACTCCACTTGTTGTATGCAGTTAACATGGTAATAGTAATAGCCCTGATATAAATACCTCTGCTTTTATTTTGGAAGTGTTACCACTCAGCACTGCAAGAATATGTTTTAAGCACTGTTATAAAGCTGCTAATTCTATGACATTATTAGATAGAAAAATAAAAATATTTCTGTTTACACTGGCATGTTGCTATGGTTGCAGGCAGGCCTGGGTGACGTCACGCCTTGGATCCATTGTGAGCATTTATTTAGGTAGTTGTCTCCATGGAAACATTTGTTTGTTTTGATGTTACTATGTGTTAAATTTTAAACAAATTTTTGTGGTTCTATACAGGATTGTTATTGAAGACTAGTTAAGCTACAGAAGCTTTGTAAATATACCTTACTCCCCACCCTCTAAAATATTTTTGGTAAAAGATCAAGTGAAAGCATAATTGTCCTCTGAAATTCCATTAATAGTTCCTGATGTTGCTTTGACATGTTTTCTTGTTGCTGAGGAAGCCATGTATTCTAAAGGCCAGAAAA